GAAACTGCATACAGCAACAACAACAACAACAAAAATGCTTTGAATTGAGTTAAAATTTAAAAATTGAACTTAGATCAAACTTCTAACTTAGAAGGTAATTTTCATTTTTTAAATAAAATATAATACAAAATATTGTAAACTTTTATAAGATTTTAAAAAGCAAAGATGGTCAACACTCCGATCACTCGGTCTGACTCTTATTTTAGTAATGAAAAGTCCTACTACCGAGAAGGCTCTTTCTGATTCAGTTGATGTGGGTGGAATCGTGTTTAATGTATTTAAGAGAAGACAGATGCTATGTGTTTTTTTCACCTGTAACCTGGAAAATTTCTAGTTTATTTTCGAGATTGTAGTACAGTTGTCCCTTGATAATCCGACAGGTATGGGACCAAAGGTGTGTCAGATTACCAAAAGTGTCCGGATTACCGAAAATAATTACATATTTCGCATTGTTTTGCTAGCAGTAACTTACAATATTCTCTACTCCAACTGTTCGAACAGAACTGCTCATGGAAAACACATGAAATGTGTGTCATCATGTAAAAATTGGGTGGGGAGATTCACGTCGCGACATGCTTCTGTGCAAACAGACACGTAACGGAGACAGAAACCTTGATGGGAGGTGCGTCGGACTACTGAGCATGTCAAATTAAAAAACGTCGGACTATACAGGGACAACTGTACTCCTTTTGCTCTCTAGTATTCTTGATTTGTCTACCTGGGCTGCTTTAATAGAAACATCAAGCTTACGACCCAATAATTCAGCAGTTCGTTTGTCTTTAATAATCAGATTTATGAAGAAAAACTTCATACTTGCAGACTTCGTAATCGTTTGTATCCTTGCCCAATTTGCACAACCTGGCGTTATGCATTTATTGAAGCTACTGGGCATGGTTAAACCACATTACCACAGCGTAAGCAGAATTATTCCTCCATATACTAGCTTACCCGTCGCGCATTGCTGCGATCTCAGAAAAAACAAAATTCAAGCAAACTCGTTATGATAAAATTCAATTTACATTTTATCATTTTTATTGAAACTTATTATTATTATTCATTTTCATCGGGAAAACATTTCAAAGTGTCGTTTCAATTCTATTTATTTATTGGAGTGTTTGTGGATACACGATATTTTTTGTTTTTCCGTCTGGTGCGTACACGAATAAATCGGAAGGTTTTCCGACGCGTGAGCCGGCCACATACAGTTGTCCATGCGAGAAGCACGGATTCTCCAAATTTAGCCCACACACTTGCAGCGATTGTCAGAAGTGTGATATTCCCCATTTTTATATATATATTTTTTAATCCTTTATAATTTTAACTATTTAATTGCTCCTTCCTCTCTTCCTTGGCGTGTTGTGAAATTTCTGATAGTTGGATAATAAACCGTTTTATTGTAATTTGTCTTTTTAAATTATTTTGAGTCAATATTAAAATTTGAGAGGTGGAGCTTCCCAGGAATATTTCTTGCTAGATAGTTTTAAAGACATATTAATACGATTAAATATTGTCGAA